ATTGACATTTTATATATCTTATTTTAGATACAATCTATATCATTTTCTTGGAAATTCAATTCACTTGTAATGTGGATGCAGACAGATCGAAAATAGACCAATTTAATACTGTCAATCAAATGGTAGAGATATTTATATCTATAGTCTCTCAGTTTATTTTGGGTTGTAACTTTAGTACATATAAGACATCTCGGATGAAAGACATAGTTAATAGCACCTGGTGGTAGTGATGTAATTGCATTTATTTTGTACTGACGGTTCATCTGAAATTGGGTTCCCAGGAATAGCCAGAAGTATAAATCCGGCTGATTGAACGTCCTAATAGCTTAGAAAAAAAGGTGGTAAATTAAATTCAGAACAGGAAGATTCAAAAAGATTTTACAGGAGCTTTCTGTCATTAGAATGACATGTTTTAGATACACTAATAGGTAAAAATTGATTTTATTTGGCGGTAGTAAAAGGTTTGAAACCGCAGAGTTAATCATCAAAAATATTTTTTACAATATTTTATTAAACGGATATAGACATGAAAGAAATAGTTTGGAGAGACCATAACCACAGAATTTCCCTAATGTATAGATGAGATTCTTTGTAGGCGTACATACGTAATGCAGCTTATTTTCAATTATTTTTTTATAATTGAACCACTACTCTTAGGACTATAAAATTTTAAAGGGTTTATTTTTAATATGTGCTTTATCATCATGTGAAGTTTCATCAAAATGCCAAAAGAGTAAACCTGATGTTCTCCTTGCAAGCTAAAATGAGAATAGTAATAGAGGTACAATTTGGACCATCATCTTTGGTTTCTTGTTTGTAGCTATTCTTTCAACCAGCTTGTATATTCAAATTATGTACCTGCCTTTACAAATTTCATACATTAGTGTTAAGATCAAACATAAAGCATCAGCCATAAAGTAATTTCCTGGTTATACGTGGAACACATATGTTGTATGTGAATCCATTATACGACTGGGATGCGTGCTTTTACGAGTACGTGCATGACCGTTGACATTTTGCTCTAGTAGTTTATTTAATACACTAACAAAAATGATTTATAACATATTCGTGTGGCATTTTGCCACGTTGGCAAAAATATTGCTCACATTCTATGTGGATTCCATTTGATTTAGAAAAAAATTTACGATAACATATACTGGAAATATCGAAAAATTATATTCCATATATGCATTTTTCCTTATTAGCCTAAATATATTATATTAGAGTACAGTAAAAAAATTTTCATGCATTTTTTTATATTCTATTGCCATCACACCTCTACCTATAAAACAAGTAGGGCGCATGCCTTAGGGCAAAAAAATTTACATTTTTGAAAAAAAAATACTATGAAAAAATTAGATTTTTGAGAAACTATAAATTTTCGACAAAAATTTACTTTTTTTGTGAAAAGATCTTCTTACTAGATCTCCGAAACCGCTAAACCTGATCAGTTCTTTATCTTGTTAATACAAGTAAAATGTTTTTTGAATTATTCAAATCGGATGCTCCATTCTCTTAAAAACTGAGTTACCGTTTTTGGCATTTTTTGCCCCATATCTTTGGATGGCTAAACCTGCCTTCGCCAAAACTAATCAGCACGTCTCCTTATCAATACGAATCAAATGTTTTTCGAATTATTCAAATCGCTGCCAAAATGTTCAGAAGGTTTTGAAACGTAAAGATATATAAAAACTTTCATTTTCGATTTTTTTGCAATCACTATAACTTGCCCTACAGGAAATTAATAAACTTGGGTTAGTCCATTCTTCAATCACAATGCAAATTTACTAAAAAGTTAATATATTTTGAAAATATTCAGATACTCTTAGAAAAAAATATTTTGATTCAAAAAAGTACCAAAATTTTACTTGTTATGTGTTTTGGATGTTATAGTGAATTTAACCCTTTCCACTCGGATGCCGCCACTCCGGCGATAAAATTCATATAAATCTCGGAATTCGCAAGTGGAGAGGGTTAAATAGATTCAGCCTAGATGATTTGACTTAAATATAGAGCACAACAAGCACCATTTTGGCAATATAAATTTTTTATTCATCAAAAGGTTAGGAAGCACCATGTTCAGCAAAGCATGTATCTTTTTTATCAATGAAATAGAATAAGAAAATAACATTAATATATTCTCTTGTGAAGCATTGACTCCGAATAATGTTAGGCAGTGGAAAATCATTAGGTCATGTTTTGATGTATTTCAGAATAACAATGTGTCTATTTTGGTTGTTAACAATAGCTTAATTTGCAAAAGAAATTAGGAACATCATCTGCATTCAGGTGAACTAAATACAATTTACTGAAAATGAACATTTTATGTAAACATTATTATCGGCGGCATAGATAACATGAATATATTGATCAGTAGAATTGCTACAGACTTTTTGTTTGTATCGACTAATTAGTAAGGGTCTATTTTTATTGGGACCTAGTCTTTATTTTTTTTATAATGTAGAATAAACAAAATACAAAAAACCCTACATTTTCACCCTCTTATCTTTGTCTTGATATCGACCCAATTCTTGATAATTTACTAGGTAAGAAATCATTATAATTATGTAACTATTCACAAATTTAGGCCACGAATTAATGAAATTTATTAGAACCAATAAATTAAATCAATGGTAAAAAATGTTTTACACATCAGAAAAGATCGAATAAAAAATATTTTTTCAACTTATATTTGTATATGTATATTATTGTTTTGTATTTTCAATATACTATTACAAAAACTGTTACATCTGTTATGAAAACTAAATTGAAATCATTTATCAGTATGATAATATTTATTAACCTTGCCATACGAGTTATTTAATTTCGACAATTATAATCAATGAATCAACATTTTGAAAATTCAACAAGTTTAAAATGTTAAAGAGCGATAAGTCTACGCAATATTACGCAAATGACACGATCCATGTTGTAAATTCTATCTGCATTATTTACATATGTTATAACTGTTCGGTTAAGGCCGCGTTTCTATGACCTATGAAATTTATCAATTATAATTTATAATTTAGTAATGATATTTGATTTTAGTAGTGGAGACTGGGTACGTTAGTGACAGTCGTCATAAGAGGTAAACTATACTGATTTTGAGATAGGGTCCAAAGGGAGAAAAATTAAGTATGTTCATTCGAACAAGTTTCCATTGTTGCGGCACTCGCCCTTTTCTTGTATAATTTGATTTTACAACCGTAGATTCCACGTAGATAAATGTTCAAATCACCAATTATTTTTCTGTCCCAGCTAATTGGTAAATTAACAAAATTATTGTCCATAAAAGAAAGTGTCACAACCGTACCCAAACTCCTCTGTTAGTAAAATTTAACATAAATGCTCTTTAATAATAATGTCTTGAAATTTGAATCTGCTAGCGTTATTTGATTATAAATTTTATAAACATGCATACTTTTTTGTCATTCTGAATCGTTTGGGGCCAAATTCGAAAACAGTATATGTGTGTTTTTTTGAAGTTCTTACTTAGATCTTCTGTCTGAGTATGTCGGACTTAATGATAATAATAATATCGACTAAAATATACGCTTTTCTCTGGCCCTTTGTTCCCACGGTAAACGCCCTTAGGCATTACTTTATGGGGGAGGATCTAGAATGCTATATAAAGCTTTTTTTATTATACTTCTATAGAAATAAAAAAATGTCATAATTGGTCAAATATTGTATTTTAAAGAAGAAATGTTGTTTTTGTCATTAATCCTAATTTTTATGTTTTCTTAACGTTTCAAGCCATTCTGTATGGTTTGGTACCAAATTTGGATAAAGTATGTGTGTTTTTTGTAGTCCTTACTTAAATCTTCTGCCCGAGTATTTCAGACTTAATAATGATAATACCCACAAAAACTTCTGCTTTTCTCTGGTTACTTTATGGGGGGAGGATCTAGAATGCTATTTATCGCTTTCATTTATAAGTAGAATATTGTCTTCTTTGTGTATATAGTTAACATTTTTATAAAACTCTTAACATCAATGATATTTTATATCTTTTTTATTATTTTATGAATTTGTTAGATCATGGTTGTCCATTCCAAAATCATGATAACCTTGTGCACACGCGTTTGACAGTTTCATATCATAATTTAAACATAATTCTAAGCGTGACGGAATATCAACTATATCAATAAAAAAATTCAAATTTAGATTATGCTAACTGTAGGACAGTTTTTATGATCATTTGAAGGTTTATGAAATGCTACGTTTTGTAATGAATACAATTATTATTATCTTGATCATTAAAAATATTTATATAGATTTTTTATTGTATTTGGCAACAATGGTTGCTCTGCTCTGCAGAGCAATTAGTAATAGATTTATTTGAAATATATTTTTGGTGTCAAATTTTTTACATTTAAAATGATGATTTAAGTTAGAGACGTTTCTCAACGTTCTCAAGTGAAAACATGTTAAATAAAAAATCAACATTTTAAACCAAAAAAAAATTTACTTTTGGGTAATTTTTTTCCGAAATTACATTTTTAAGTAAATATCATATGTGTTTTCTGAAATTTTGAAAGTGAGATAAAATATAAAAATAGTAAAAATCAAAATTTAAGAAAAGTTAAATAGTCAAATAATATATTTTAATGTCGAAATAAAAAACCTCAAATTAGATTTATACTCGTATGTGAATCCAGAACTTATGTTTGGTATTTAATAATGTTATGTATATATATATATATATATAATGTTATAATAATTGTTATGTATTATTACTAATGATACAATTCGAAATTACCGCCAAGAAACCGCAATTGATTCGTTATTGAAAAAGTATCTCTAGGACCATTACGCAAGTTGTCCCATCGTTTGCTTATGTAGAATAAAAAATCTTGCAACCGTTTTACTTATCAGTACACAATCGATAATATTACGAAATTTAGAATATTGATTGCCAATGTTTTGTTCCGAGTGACCTCAAAAAATAATACTGATACGTGATGGCCGATTATTTTTAATGTTTTTTATCTTTACAGAATGGAGAAAACAGCGACAGTGGTCTTAAAACCAAGGAGGCTACTTTTCCCGGGATAGAAGAGTGAGTAATAATTAATTTTATCATTTTTAAATTAAATTTTTAAATATAAAAAAAAAATTAAATATCATGAAATTATGTCATGATTGCCTTAGTAACTTAGGGTTTACTTAAATTTGAATAAAATGGAAAATTTTCGAAAATTCTTTATGCTTGACTAGTAGCTTAAAAATGTACAAAAATGAATATTAAAAAAAAGTTGATTTTTTTTATTGTCCAATACTAGTATAATAATAATACTCTATTTACACACACATATATATATATATATATATATATATATATATATATATATATGTCTATGTCTATGTCTATGTCTATGTATTATTATAATTAGTATGTTCTTCCAAGCTTCAACGTTCAACAAAATTATGAAATAAATATGTATATTTTATTCGTAATAATTCCGTACATAAAATTTAATTAACCAATTTGTAGTCTTGAATGGTTCCTTCTGAACCCTTGATGGGGATATTAACCTTTAGTTGAAACTTTGGTCGTCACATTGACTAATTTTCTTAGAATACGAACCTTTATGATATGAACAGGTAACCTTGTGAAGTACCCGAGCACACCTGGCTTCCGTTAACCAGAAACCTAAATCAAGTTGTAGACTTATGGCTGATCGAAATTTGGTAGATTGATTAAAATAAAATAATATTTCACATTTCATCTATCATATAATTAGATAAAGTAACATTTGCTATCTAATTCTGATGCTTGATTCGATTCCTGTAAAATAATTTCAACTTCTAATGCTTTATATTATGACATATTTAATATATAAATAGCCATACAGAATGACTTCAAAACTGTGTCAGTTTCCCCAATTTCGATGTCAAACTATTCATAATGATTTGAAACGTCTAAATAATTGGAAATTAGCAAGTCAGGTTCTCGGTGTCAAACGATTCAGAATGACTTGAAACGTCTAAAAACCTCGGATTTTTTTGTTAAAACAAACTTCTCTTCAAGAAAAAGTCACACTGATTTAAATTAAAATATACACTGGTATAAAAATCTAAATTAATATAAACAAAACATTTCTGGGAACTATTGCAGACTGATAAGATATCAAAACGCTTTAATCTATCTTTTATATTTGGCTATACTTATCATTTTTGATTTATACTGTAAAAACCGACTTTTTTCACTAAAAAACCGAAAAAGTGTTCGAATTCCATAAATTTCGCCAAAAAAACGGTTTTTAAAACCGGTTTTTGAAAACTGACAAACCCTAATTCTAATGCTTCGGCCAAAAATTTTTGGAGATCTCTGGAAAAAAAGCTTCTTTGCGATGGACTACTTTTATTTATTTCACTATCATTGAAACAATAATCTTTTATATCTGTTTTAGCATTTTTAATTTGCTATTTAATTTCAAACTTATTATTTTAACTTTACTCCATAGCGGAAATTTTTATTGCTTAGTAACCTTTCGGAACTTATTTACATATTGTCCCCAAAAATACCTAAAGTTTTTTTTTGTAAATATACAAGGGTACAGGCTTAAAATCAAATAATAACGGTAAAGATTTTTTTCTTCATTTCTTTACAAAAACTACCGATGCCATGTCTAATATATTAAAAATCACTTATCAATTCCAAAGCAATTTGTATTCATCAAATGTCAACGAAAATTTTTTGGACACCACGAAAGTTATTGACTGATTTAATTCAAGGTTGTAGACGAAACGTACACAAGAAAAAATTGTCGTTCGAATTTATTTGAATGTATAAATTTGCAATTATTTGTACTTTAGTCGAAGATAACAAACAATTTGATATGAGTAATTATTATTGTAAACAACCATCAGGAATAAACATCTTATGCTAAAATAGCGGAAGTAAATAATGGACGGTGTGAAATGTAAACAAAATATGAATTTCCGCCTAAACTTTGTTTAAGTAAATATTTGATTTGCAGATTTGTAGCAAACTTTAGGTTAAAGTACTTATCTGCTGTTTGTTGTACCAGGATGTACTTATATAAGCCCTATATGGTGGAAGCTTAAGAATATAATTAGACAATATAAATTCCCAAAAAAAAGCATTGTATTTTTGCCAAAAAATTCTATTTGCTAATTTTATTTCCATTTCAAAAGTTATTCTGCATAGTTTGACACTAAGTTAGTAGAAGTATGTGTGTATGTGTATGCGAGCCAAACTGAAGAACTAAAAAAAATGTTGCTTATTAAAATTCCCAAAAAGGTATCGATGTTTTCAAGAAAATTATTGCTCCTGTTTAAATCATTCTAAAATTATAGGCTTCTCTGTTGAATCGATTCTGTGAAACTTGCAAAACTCCTTTCACATAATTAAGGCGTATGTTATTATAGGAAAAGCGAGAGTAATATCTTGATTTTTTGAAATTGAGATATCTCTTTATGTACATTTATATTTTTTACGATTTTTTTCACTCCTTGTAGAATTAATTTCAAAACATTCTATTTCTTAGGTAGACAGGTTAGGTTAGATTTCCAATATGCATAAACACAAAAATTTGTTCAGAATTACATAATTGATATTTGGTTTTTTGAAAAATGATTTTTTTACAGACCTAATAATAATAATACTTCGAGTATAGTTAATTAGTCATAACTGGATTGGACAGTTATTAAGTTGCCTTTCATTCAAAAATTCAATCGTGACAGATTGTAATAAAAAAAAACTATTGCATTTATCCTTGCACTCATTATTATTATTTGCCTCATTATTATTATTTGATGCCTTTGAGAATAGAGTTACCTCCTTGCAGTTTTTGTTTGATGTTTTGATGTCAAATGCAAGAACAGCATTTTAAGTCTATTTTACTTACAATTAGAACATAATAGAAAATTAAAAAATACTGTTCAAATCAGAAAGGAATTCATGTTGAGATCAGAAACCGACGGGGTTTAAAACCTATGTTGTTTGCATAGTGATATCAAGCAGTAGTGATATCCATTTTCACTTTAAATACATATTTTTACGTGAAAAAAGCTTTTCTGGGCATTTCTGCAGAAAAAATAACAAAAACTAAATTGTAATAATAATCATAATAAAGAATGCAGTATTCCATCAGTAAGAAAGGGACTAAAAATGGTTTTTGTATTTTAATAGATGTTTAACAAACGTTTTACAACAGAATTATTATTCAAGTTTTTTGATCTCAAACATGAAGTATTGTATAACTGCACGAAATTTGCACTATTTTTTATAATTGTTTTTTATTTATAGTCATTAAAGTCAATTATTAGTAATAACAAAGTAAAACATTTGTTGAACCGTTTAAAACTAAATTATTCATTTCATAAACAACTTTAAATATTACAAATGTTATTATTTTTCCACTAATATGCAAATGTTTACAAACACAATCCATTTTAGCGTTATCAGTAATTATCAAGTAAGCGCTAGACGCGTCGAAATATTTCGAAAATAGTTACATGGTCTCATAAAACGATTTAAATTAAATATATACATACTAATGGCCCTTTAACTGATATTTTGCACGATGTTCGAAAATAAATATTAGGTTAACGATTTTGGTTTATGGCTTATGTTGAATCTATTTCTGCGCGCAAAATATATAATAATAGGCTAGAAACATTAAATATTTTCAACAAACAAAAATAATCTAAATAACTTACACTTTTAGCTAAGGCAAAACATTTGTTAGATATTTTCTAATAATAAATTTGTTTTAAATTATATGGTTTAAAAAATATAATTATTTTGTGCATATACTTATTGTATGTGTGAATTCAAAATTCCTCTGTTTAATCTAAATTTTTAATACATAAATGTTAAAAATTACAAACTCATACAGTACAAATTGTTGTAAACCACATACACAATATGTAACTTCGATTATTTATAATTTAGCAAAAACAAGGAATATTCGATATTTTTTCCTTTGAAAGTAAATTGGTGCTATTTCTGCCTTTGGTTAGATTTCAATTCTTAAGATTAATTCAGAATTTTCAGAAATCAGTTACCATTTCTTTATCAATTTTTGTTCAATATAAATTATTTTTAAAATTAGCAATATTTTTTTTATAAAGTGAATATGTATTTATAGATACTGTGATTTCAAAAAATGTAAAAAAAATTAAGTTTGTTTTCAATTTTTACAGATTCAAAGTCAACAATGAAGTGCTGTATCCAGTCATTGCAGAATGGTAAGTCATTTTGATAATTGATTTTGATTTCCATTGATGTAGATTTTTAATATTAATGAAATTTTATGTTCTGCCTGATTATGCTTGCTATATAATTATATTGGATATTTTTATTCGTAATTATTATTAATATTATTATTAATATTTCTGAAACTTTTGTTGATGCAGTTTGCAATAGTCTTATGGGTGTGATTTCAAAGAATTATTACATGTGGTTATTTTATTTATTTCTATTGTTGAAGTGATAAAATTCTATATCTGTGATTTGAATATATGTAAGTAAGTATGAAATGAATCATGAAAACTTTTAAGTATATTTCCAGTATATTTTAGTATATTTCCAGTTTATTTCAAGACATTGTATTTGAAATTCAAGGATTTCAAAAAAGGATCAGCAGTTATTAAAAAAAATATATATATTTTTTTCAACTATTTAATTATAAATGAATTATGGTAAGTACAAACATCATATCAAATTCGCCTGATAGGTAATCTTATATATAAAAATGGAGCTCTCTTTCAAATGTCCGAATAAAACTCGAAAACGGCTGAATCGATTTGGCCAGTCTTAGTCTTGAAAAATTCGTGCCAATCCAGAGAATGTCCAAAAGGTGAGAAATTATTTCAAATCCGCGTAGAAACTTTACATTTATAATTTGAAAATTTTTGTAGAAGCGTAATTTAAATAGAACAATGGACGGTGGCAATTTCGTGAAATGTCAAACGCTTTTGACAGATGATGTTCAATTACGTTTAATAGGATGTTTTACGCGAATATTATTTATTTGTGATAAATTTGTAGTAAGTAGTTTTGTTTGTAGTTTTATTTATATACAAAAACGTTAGTAAACGGGCCCCGAGTGTTACTAGAGACTCAAAATATAAACTTTTTCGATATGTTAATATGAAAATGCATTTTTGGCATATTTTTCTCAAACACGGTGCTCTGAAAGATCTTATTTGTATAATTATATGCTCATTGGTATTTATAAAACATTTTCTAGGTTGTTATATTATTTTTTATTTATGTTATTTAAATTCAGAACCTAAATTTGGTATCGATCGAATGGACCTTTGTCCATTCTATCATCCTTTGTCGAATAACATTTTTCCAGTTATAATTTTCCAGAATTTATCGCAGAATAGATAGTAATATATGAAGGTCCGGGGTTAAAAAAGCCAACCACCGATTTGTCAAAAATCAGTAAAGTTAAGCATTGTTTAACAACAATATTTGAAAGTAGAGGAAAAAAGACTTATAGCCAGCTACAAGCTTGATTTGAAAACGGTAATCTTTTCCAGTTATAATTTCCCAGAATTTATTGCAGAATAGATAGTAATATATGATGGTCCTGGGTTAAAAAGGCCAACCACCGATTTGTCAAAAATCAGTAAAGTTAAGCATTGTTTAACAACAATATTTGAAAGTACAGGAAAAAAGATTTATAGCCAGCTACAAGCTTGATTTGAAAACGGTAATCTTTGAAATGGGGGAGATAAACGGTAATCTTTGAGAATCCATAATAAAAGTATTTTCTTCCGTTGGTAGTTTTTAAGCATTAGTTAAAAATGTAATTATTTTGTAAAATACCTTTAAAACTATAATAAGGCTTTAAATCTTTTTGCCACCTGCCCGTTTCAAGTTTGCCGGGTATATATATATATATATATATATATATATATATTATGTTAAATGTTAAATATGAACAATACAACACTCTGGATTTTAACACACACTTTATTCGGTTATAGAACATATAGGAGTTCTGATGCTGTTCAAACAATAAAAAAAAATTATCCGGAATTCGGATTATCCGGACTTTCGATTATCCGGAATTCGGATTATCCGGAATTCCGATTATCCGGAATTCCGATTATCCGGAATTCCGATTATCCGGAATTCCGATTATCCGGAATTCCGATTATCCGGAATTCCGATTATCCGGAATTCGGATTATCCGGAATTCGGATTATCCGGAATTCCGATTATCCGGAATTCCGATTATCCGGAATTCGGATTATCCGGAATTCGGATTATCCGGAATTCGGATTATCCGGAATTCGGATTATCCGGAATTCGGATTATCCGGAATTCCGATTATCCGGAATTCCGATTATCCGGAATTCCGATTATCCGGAATTCGGATTATCCGGAATTCGGATAATCCGGAATTCCGATTATCCGGAATTCGGATTATCCGGAATTCGGATTATCCGGAATTCGGATTATCCGGAATTCCGATTATCCGGAATTCAGATTATCCGGAATTCCGATTATCCGGAATTCGGATTATCCGGAATTCGGATTATCCGGAATTCCGATTATCCGGAATTCCGATTATCCGGAATTCGGATTATCCGGAATTCCGATTATCCGGAATTCCGATTATCCGGAATTCGGATTATCCGGAATTCCGATTATCCGGAATTCGGATTATCCGGAATTCCGATTATCCGGAATTCCGATTATCCGGAATTCCGATTATCCGGAATTCCGATTATCCGGAATTCCGATTATCCGGAATTCGGATTATCCGGAATTCCGATTATCCGGAATTCGGATTATCCGGAATTCGGATTATCCGGAATTCGGATTATCCGGAATTCGGATTATCCGGAATTCGGATTATCCGGAATTCGGATTATCCGGAATTCCGATTATCCGGAATTCCGATTATCCGGAATTCGGATTATCCGGAATTCGGATTATCCGGAATTCGGATTATCCGGAATTCGGATTATCCGGAATTCGATTATCCGGAATTCGGATTATCCGGAATTCGGATTATCCGGAATTCGGATTATCCGGAATTCGATTATCCGGAATTCGGATTATCCGGAATTCGGATTATCCGGAATTCGGATTATCCGGAATTCCGATTATCCGGAATTCGATTATCCGGAATTCCGATTATCCGGAATTCCGATTATCCGAATTCGATTATCCGGAATTCCGATTATCCGGAATTCCGATTATCCGGAATTCGGATTATCCGGAATTCGGATTATCCGGAATTCGGATTATCCGGAATTCGGATTATCCGGAATTCGGATTATCCGGAATTCCGATTATCCGGAATTCGGATTATCCGGAATTCCGATTATCCGGAATTCCGATTATCCGGAATTCGGATTATCCGGAATTCGGATTATCCGGAATTCGGATTATCCGGAATTCGGATTATCCGGAATTCGGATTATCCGGAATTCCGATTATCCGGAATTCCGATTATCCGGAATTCCGATTATCCGGAATTCCGATTATCCGGAATTCGGATTATCCGGAATTCCGATTATCCGGAATTCCGATTATCCGGAATTCGGATTATCCGGAATTCCGATTATCCGGAATTCCGATTATCCGGAATTCGATTATCCGGAATTCGATTATCCGGAATTCGATTATCCGGAATTCGGATTATCCGGAATTCGGATTATCCGGAATTCGGATTATCCGGAATTCGGATTATCCGGAATTCGGATTATCCGGAATTCGGATTATCCGGAATTCGATTATCCGGAATTCGGATTATCCGGAATTCGGATTATCCGGAATTCCGATTATGCGGAATTCCGATTATCCGGAATTCTGATTATCCGGAATTCCGATTATCCGGAATTCCGATTATCCGGAATTCCGATTATCCGGAATTCGGATTATCCGGAATTCCGATTATCCGGAATTTCGATTATCCGGAATTCGGATTATCCGGAATTCGGATTATCCGGAATTCGGATTATCCGGAATTCCGATTATCCGGAATTCGGATTTTCCGGAATTCCGATTATCCGGAATTCGGATTATCCGGAATTCCGATTATCCGGAATTCGGATTATCCGGAATTCGGATTATCCGGAATTCCGATTATCCCGAATTCGGATTATCCGGAATTCGGATTATCCGGAATTCCGATTATCCGGAATTCGGATTATCCGGAATTCCGATTATCCGGAATTCCGATTATCCGGAATTCGGATTATCCGGAATTCCGATTATCCGGAATTCCGATTATCCGGAATTCCGATTATCCGGAATTCGGATTATCCGGAATTCCGATTATCCGGAATTCCGATTATCCGGAATTCGGATTATCCGGAATTCGGATTATCCGGAATTCGGATTATCCGGAATTCGGATTATCCGGAATTCGGATTATCCGGAATTCGGATTATCCGGAATTCCGATTATCCGGAATTCCGATTATCCGGAATTCGGATTATCCGGAATTCCGATTATCCGGAATTCGGATTATCCGGAATTCCGATTATCCGGAATTCGGATTATCCGGAATTCCGATTATCCGGAATTCGGATTATCCGGAATTCGGATTATCCGGAATTCCGATTATCCCGAATTCGGATTATCCGAAATTCGGATTATCCGGAATTCCGATTATCCGGAATTCGATTATCCGGAATTCCGATTATCCGGAATTCCGATTATCCGGAATTCCGATTATCCGGAATTCCGATTATCCGGAATTCGGATTATCCGGAATTCCGATTATCCGGAATTTCGATTATTCGGAATTCGGATTATCCGGAATTCCGATTATCCGGAATTCGGATTATCCGGAATTCCAATTATCCGGAATTCCGATTATCCGGAATTCGGATTATCCGGAATTCCGATTATCCGGAATTCCGATTATCCGGAATTCGGATTATCCGGAATTCGGATTATCCGGAATTCGGATTATCCGGAATTCCGATTATCCGGAATTCGGATTATCCGGAATTCGGATTATCCGGAATTCCGATTATCCGGAATTCCGATTATCCGGAATTCCGATTATCCGGAATTCCGATTATCCGGAATTCGGATTATCCGGAATTCCGATTATTCGGAATTCCGATTATCCGGAATTCGATTATCCGGAATTCGGATTATCCGGAATTCGATTATCCGGAATTCGATTATCCGGAATTCGGATTATCCGGAATTCGGATTATCCGGAATTCGGATTATCCGGAATTCGGATTATCCGGAATTCGGATTA